TTTTTTTTTTTTTCTTTTTTGGTTCTTCCTATGAACTTCTCTGTCAATTTAGGTTGTCCAACTGCCTTTGTCACTTGGTTGACAACTTTTAAACTTCTACTCTTTATCATTTGGCACTGGCCCATTGCCCAGTCCATCGCTCTCCCCCTCCCATTTTATTGTGATTTCTTGTTTACCAGTTGTGATACAACATCAACCCCACAACCTTAAAATCTCCGAAAAACGATGAAATTTTGGACAAAAGGTCTTAAATCCCTTTTACATTATGCAAAGAAGGATTTGATTTTGATATTTTTGCTCATTTTGAATCATTATAGGCACAAATTCCATCAAGATTTGATCCCATTCCTCACACGTTTATTGCCGTTGGCATGGATCCTAGGTTTGGCTGCCATTATTGGCCAATTCTTGCTAGGAACTGAGGTTGAGTCACCATTTAATAACCCGTACTTCGAGTCCTCACTGAAAGACTTATGGGGTCAAAGAAGGAATCACGTTAGCTCGAGTACTCTATGTATGATTGTATTCGACCCGATCCTCAAAAAGGCGAAATTTGGCTGTGTTACTGAACTAGACACGTTCCCCGTGTCTGCACTGATGTACGAGATCATCTTTTACTATATGGGTCATGTTACACTTAGATGGGGTACGACATTGTTTATTCACATTTACGGACTATGCCTCGTAGTCGAGAACAATTTGAGGAATAAAATTCACACTAAATGGAGTGTGCCACAACTATTCATGGGGCCATCGGTGTTCGGAATTTTTGTGTACACATTCATGAGGCTGGTCTTGCCAAAACTTCTTGAATACTATAACAACCCACTAAACCATTAACTTACGTACTGTTCATTATAGAAGAGTTTAAACACATCTTATCCCTCATGACCTTTTCCTTAAGAGGGATCTCTCTTAAAGGAAATGTTATGGATTCTAATGACCCTTTTTTGTAATAACTCAACCCCTGCGTCAACTCGCCAGGATTCGAACCTATGACTTTTTTCTTAAAATAGACTTAAGTTAAATCATGATATCAATTGGAGTGATAAGATGAGTTACTCTCCTAAAGCAGACGGTATATAAGTTAACGGCTTAAGCGTAGGGGCTGGATGCAATGTTGATGAAAGAGAAATTGCAGAGTGTGCAGCTGTGGTTGATTTTGTGAAGGATGCAAGCCTGTATTGGATAAAGTGTGGTACAAATTGCTGGTACAACACTATATACGAAACAGCATATGTTTGTCTACAAATTAAGTGAAAGCAATTAGCATACAGAAATTGTAGAATTAATACAAAATAATTTTGTTAAAAACGCTGGTATTTGTCTGCTCTGCAGACTGCAATGTTGAACTAGAAGGGTCAACATGTAAAATGAGCCGACCAGCCTCTACAGTCGAGCTTGAATAATAGAATATGTGACGTAACAATTTAGTTATTTACTGAACTACCGTGCATCAACTTTTCAGTTAGTCAAATTAACAGATATGAAATGAACGACCACAAATATTTATGTTCAATGACCAAGTTGAAATAAAATTTTACTTGTAGTGACTAATATGGAACAAAATAAAACTTTGTTACCTGATTTCAGTGATATTGAGCAATCCAAGAAAATCCCAATTTCAATACTGAAAGAGGCATTAATTATGAAGAGACCAAAAGAACAGTAAATGATCTCTTAAAGACCTGCCTCCATCTGCTATGACTTGTTAACAATAAGAGGTATGAAGTATATAAATATAACCACAGACTATAAACAAAGTTATAGCTTCAGTGTGAAGAAATGGGAAAGAAAATTTGGCTGTCAAAAATGTCTATGGTATGCATACTATTGCTGATACTGTGGGAGATGGCTTTGCCTTCTATGGCCTGTCCTTCAGATGGAACTGAGTGCAGTAACTGTATCACAAATCAAATGAAATCCAGTTGCCCAAGATGTGTTCCAATAATGCAATGCATGGCTCGATGTTTGTGGGGTGGAACGTGTCGTTCCAAGTGTATCAAGAAATGTGACTGCAATGGTGGCTATCCAAGGCTAGCCGATTGCAAGAAATGCTTGTCGCAGTGCAAATGCAGTTGTTCAAGTTAGTTGAGAGTGAGTTTCGTAGGCTGGTTAACATATATTTGCCTTCGAAAAGTACTTCTGTACAAGTCCTTTATGTTGGAAGGACGGAAGATTTCTTCTAATAATTGTGCATGAATGTGTGTACTCTGTGTGCGTGTATATTTATGGGGCGTATCCTTGCTTTCGCATTTTTGTAGAAGATTCTCTTGAATAAGCTACATAAATCAAGTTCCTCTAAAAACTCATTCAGACAGTGGCGGAGATAGGGGTGGGCTCCTTGCCCAAGCCCAGCTTCTGTAAAAAAAAAAAAAAAGAAAAAAAAATTGGTACCCTTCATCCTTGGCTCCGCCCCAGCCATCACCAATTTTATGTAAATATGTCCAAACATAGCATCTTAATTTCACTTTTCAAAAATCCAATCAAAACAGATCCTTAAATGCATCACAAAATTAATGCAGAAAGATGTGGTTTACTTGAAAACCTGGATCAAGCACAACAAAGAAATTTGTCATCTGAAAAACTTTAGATTGCTCAACAAGTATAACAATCAAGCAGAAAACAACTAGTACATGCTAATACATAATGATTTCTATACAAGCATCAAATATGCTAATACATATTGCTCGATAAAAGTTTTATACACCACAGAAGAAGTTTGGTTGTATGTATAAGTTCCTTTCTCAACCTGTTTTCTGACCGTAACAAGGATCTTTATAATGATCTTTCCCATTTTTTATGCTTTGAGAAGTCGTATTTCTTAGCCTGCATGATTGCTCTAAGATCAATTTATAAGTCGAAGGATACTTCCAAGCTACAAAGGAATACTTGTCACTATATTCCTCAACTCCTTCGACCAATAACTGCCAAATTAGAACTCCAGCACCGGCTTCCCTTTTATTCGCAGATTTGTAAATTTTGTCATAAACCATTCTCAACAAAATATCACTATCATATAATCCTCCTGTCTTCGTAGCTAAAAGGGCGCCAACTTCTGTAAAAAGAACGGGCTTCTTCAGCACATTCTCACTGTCGTCAATATGAGCATCTACCCAGTTGGAAAGGTATTTTACTTTTGCTTCTAAATCTGCATCTGGGATCCTAAAGCATACAATTACACAGAAAATAACATGGTAGTCAAATCCCAAAAGGAAACTAGAATTTCATCATAACTCATGGGGCACAAAGGTTATAATGCCTCACTACAAGCCCAAAAACCCAGCAAGAGCAAGTGGTGATATGACCATGTTTGGCTAACCTTAAAAAGTTTACTTATAAGCAAATAATTAAATTTCAAACTAAGCAATTTTTTTATTGATGAAAGTTGTAAGTCCCCACCCACTGATTTTTTTTTTTAGTTAGGAAAAAAATTATGTAAAAAAAAAAAAATCATGTGTAATTTTTTTTTTACGTATTAGCACGGTCTGTAATTCGGTCCTGGATCCGTCCTTGGCTCCAAGCACAAAGTGTAACCCAATTTTCTCATTGGTGCAAAATCATAATGAGCAAAGAGCATCACTAACCAGCTGTGCGGGTAAGCATGAACTGAAGCAAAGTCTATGTTTTCAATTGCTGAGTTCTTTATAAAATCTGATCCCAGTGACGCTGCCCATTCCCCTGGGTTAGCTCTGTAATTCCCAGTTGAATTTAGACTGTAAAACCCTTCAAGTCCAACTGTCACAAGATGTTTTCCGTCCAAACTCTTCACAAATGCAGCCATCTCTGTAATCCAAGCCTGTTTATAGTCTCTCTGGTTAATCCAGTGACCTGATGAAATTATATGTATTGGCCAAAATAGACACTGAGCACACGGATAATGCATATATACTAGTGGTTAGACAGTTAAATCATTTGGACACCTTAGCTAAATGGCTATCCAACCCACCAAACTACGAGCATTTTTGGCTGAAAAAAGACGTAAACTTCATCTCCAAACATGTTTGAAAATGTTACTTACATTACTTTTAAGTAAAAGAAGTCACTTTTCTGAAAAATAACTATCAACTTAAGTGTCAAAATAATCAGTCTGTAGCTTACTTATTTCTAACTTTGACCATTAAAAAATTATTTTATTTTAGCTTTCTTATTTATAAGTAACCTTACTAACACAAACTTTTCAAGCTTACCCAAACAGACTGTATATTACAGTAGTTGATACATTCAGATTTTCAAGATAATCGCTTGACACTACTTTCTCTATGCTAATCACCAAGAGTTCATTTCCTTTCTGAAAGGGGAGGCCAAAGCACAAGAAGTAGAACTTAATTTTGAGTTTACCTGAAGAGCGGGAGCACATGAATTGGATTTACACCGAGGTTCATTCATGAGTTCCCAGGCAAATATGGCCGGTTCCTCCAAATATTTGACACCAGTAAAGGAATTCTTTCTAGTCAAAATAGCCTGCAACAGCCCAAAAGAAATATGAGCCAAAAAGATTAAGGATCTCGGGGAAGCACTTCTATTCCCAATTAGTTTTCACTTAACCCGCAAGTTGACGTTTTCCCCATAAGAACTCATTAATAAATCTTAGGTGGTATTTCTCGAAATATAGTGTAAACTAATTGTAAAAAGTTGTTTAATCTTGCTTTTAACATAATATCTATTAGAGCTGTATTCACCATACCTTGACATAAGATTTGTAATACTTTTTTATGATTGGATTAGAGAAAAATGAATCAGTCGAAGAAGTAATATTCTCTCCAGCTTCTTCTGCCCAACGCAGATACTGAGCTTTTCCACCAAAAGCATTCAAACTGTTCACCAGACTGAGGATTAATCTTATCCCATGTTTCCTAGCTTCGTATACCACATAATCTAATCCCTGAAGACAAAAGAATGAATGATGTCAAAGTGAATCAGATCACCAATTTAGAAGCAGATTACTCCTTAACATATGAAGATTCTACAGATTTGAGAATGAAAATGGAGAGATGAGCGACATCAAGAAAACCAAGAACAAAGAGTTTTTACGCTATGACCAGCAAGGATCGGAGAGTGCTCTAATGTTTCTCAAGAAGACCAAATTACTGAGGTATTTAGACAGATAAGGCCCAATGATATCCCAAAGAGTAGAGAATGCTCCTCTCAAGCCAACGTGGAGCTATTCCACTGTCCAATACTCAATGATATCCT